TGGAGCTGTTTCGGGTCTGTGACGGGTGAAGTCAGCACCCTGGGTTCAGGCCTCCCTTCTCAAAATATCTCTCCTGGTCTTGGACTGCACCAAGATTTCACAATCTACCTGGGTCCCAAAGCTGCCACAAAGGCACTTTTTTCCCTGCTGGATGCTGAATTATTGTTGTTGGTAGGAGGGGTGTGAGCAAGAAAGTATTATTCAGCCATCTTGCTGATGTTAATACTTTGAATATTCCTTTTATAAACTTTTTTTTTTGTGGTACGTGGGCCTCTCACTGTTGTGGCCTTTCCCGTTGCGGAGCACAGGCTCCGGATGCTCAGGCTCAGCGGCCATGGCTCACGGGCCCAGCCGCTCCGCGGCATGTGGGATCCTCCCAGACCGGGGCACAAACCCGCGTCCCCTGCATCGGCAGGCGGACTCTCAACCACTGCGCCACCAGGGAAGCCCCAGTTTTGATTACTGTAGCTTTGTTATATTTTGAAATCAGTGAGCATGATGCCTCCAGCTTTGTTCTTCTTTCTCATGATTGTTTTGACTATTCAGAGTCTTTTATGTTTCCACACAAATTTTAGAATTATTTGTTTTAGTTCTGTGAAAAATGACTTTGGTGTGGTTTTTTGTTTGTTTGTTTGTTTTTAATTTGGCCACACTGTGCAGCTTGCAAGATCTTAGTTCCCCAACCAGAGATTGAACCCGGGCCCTGGCAGTGAAAGTGCCGAGTCCTAACCACTGGACTGCCAGGGAACTCCCTGACTGCTATTTTGATAGGGATTGCATTGAATCTGTAGATTGCCTTGGGTAGTATGAATTGATTGATTCTTTCTAATGTATTTTTTATTTCCGTTATTGTATTCTTCAGCTCTGCTTGGTTCTTCTTTATGTATTTTTACTCTGTCAAACTTCTCACTGTGTTCATCCAGTCTTCTCCCAAGTTCACTGAGAATCTTTATGGTCATTACCTTGAACTGTTTATCAAGTAGATTGCTTACCTCTACTTTGTTTAGTTCTTCTTCTGGAGTTTTGTCTTGTTCCTTTGTTTGGGCATGCTGGTAGGTGGGGCTGGCCAACAGCCTGATTGGCTACTAGACCCTACCTCATGCAGTGGCTGCTGGTCCACTGGTGGGTCACAGTTGTGGCTAGCTACATGGCCCAGGAGGCCCAGGGGCTGGTACGCATCTGCTGGTGGGTGGGGCCAGGCCCTGGCACTAATAGGCTTGAGGGAACACTAAAGGACAGATTTGTGACAATTGGTAAAATTTTATGGGCTGTGTAGTAGAATGTATTGCCTAAATAATAAGTTTTACATGTGATAATGGTATTGAGGCTATGTGGCAGAATATCCTTCTTCTTAGGAGATACATCCTTAAGTATTCAGAAGAGAAATACCATGGTGTTTGTAATTTAATTTCAAATGGCTCAGAAAAAAATAGTATATGTGTGCATATACATATAATAAATAAATGTGTGTGTATATATACATTTATATATATATGTATTATATATTATCCAAAACAACAAAATACCTAGGAATAAAATTAATCAAGGAGGTAAAAGACTTGCATACTGAAAACTGCAAAACAGTGCTGAAATAAATTAAAGAAAACCTAAGTAAATGGAAAGACATATAATGTTCATGAGTTGAAAGAGTTTAATGAGTTTAATTTTGTAAAAATGGCAATACTCCCCAAATTGATCTATGGATTAAATGCAATCCCTATCAAAATTCCAAGAGCATATTTTGCATAAACGAGCATAAGATTCATGCGGAATTACAAGGGATTCCCAAAGAACTAAAACAATCTTGAAAAAGTCAAGGACCCCACCTCCTGATTTTGAAACTTACTACAAATCAAAACAGTGTGGTATTGGCATAAGGATAGATACATAAATCAATGGAATAGATTTGAGAGGCCAGAAGTAAACTCATACATCTATTGCCAGTTGATTTTCAACAAGGGTGCCAAGATCATTAAATGAGGGAAAGGATAGCCTCTTCAACAAATGGTGGTGGGACAACTGGATGTCTACATGCAAAAGAATGGAGTTGTACTGCCAACCTTACACCATATTAACAAAATAACTCAAAATGGATCAATGACCTAAATACAAGAACTCAAACCATAAAATTATTGGACAAAAATATAGGGATTTTGGATTTGGCAATGGATTTGTCTCAGATATGACAATGAAAGCATGATCAACAAAAGAAAAATTAGATAAATTGGACTTCATCAAAGTTCAAAACTATTATACATCAGTGAACATTCTCAAGAAAAGTGGAAAGATATGTACATAATGGGAGAAACTATTTGGACATTATATATCTAATAAGGGTATAGCATTCAGAATATATAAAGAACTCTTACAATTCAATAACAAAACAAGCCAATTCAAATACAGGAAAAGAGCCTTTGTGCACTGTTGGTGGGATTATGAAATGGTGCAACTTCTATGGAAAACAGTATGAAGTTTCCTCAAAAAATTAAAAATAGAACTACCATATGATCCAGCAATCTCACTTCTGGGTATATATCCAAAAGAACTGAAAGCAGGGTCTTGAAGAGATATATGCATGCCTATGTTAATACCAGCAGTATTCATAATAGCTAAGAGGTGGAAGCAATCCAAATGTTCATCAACAGATGAATGGATAAATAAAATGTGGTATGTAAATACAATGGAATATTATTCAATCTTAAAAAGGATGGAAATCTTGTCACATGCTACCACATGGATGAAGCTTGAGGACATGGTTAAGTGAAATGAGCCAGTCACAACAAGGCAAGTACTGCGTGATTCCAATTGTATGAAATATCTAAAGTAGTCAAATTCATAGAAACAGAAAGAAAAATGGTGGTTACCAGGGATGGGAGAGGGCGAAAAAGAGTTGTTTAATGAGTATAGAGTTCCCATTTTGCAAGATGAAATAGCTCTGGAGATGTTTCACAACAACGTGAATATACTTAACACTACTGAACTGTATACTTAAAAATGGTTAAGATGGTAAATTTTATGTCTTTGAAAAAATGCATTAGAAAAGAAAAAAAAAAGTCTGAGGAATTTTCCTGGATTTTACTCTTTGCCTCATATTAACTCACTACCACTACTTCAATAAAAATAGAGCTAAAATAAAAAACAAAAAACAGGCAAAGGACTTAAGTAGACATATCTCCAAAGAAAATATATAAATGGCCCAACACATGAAAAGATGCTCAACATCATCAGTCATTAGCGAAATGCAAATCACACCCCCTAGGATGAATATAATTTAAAAAGAGAGAAAATAACAAAATAACAAGTGCATACATTTCTGGGGGGAATGTAAAATGGTTCAGCTGCTCTGAACATCGTTTGGCAGTTCCCCTGGGAAACACAGAATTACCATGTGACCCAGCAATCCTGCTCCTATATACCCCAAAGGACTAAAAATAGGTACTCAAACATACCAGCACTATTCACAATAGTCAAAAGTTGGAAACAGCCCAAATGTCCATCAGTGGATGAACGGATAAACAAATTGTGATTTACACATACAGTGTGATAGCGTTCAGTCGTAAAAAGGAATAAAACACTGATACATGCTACAACGTGGATGAACGTCAAAAATATTAGAAGGCAGACACAAAGGTCACATAGTGTATATTTCCATTTATATGAAATATATAGAGTAAGTAAATCCATGGAGACAGTACACAGATTGTGGCTGCCAGTAGCTGGTGGAAGGGGGGCGGAATGGGGAGCAATTGCTTAATGGATGCAAGGTTTCCTTTTGGGGTGATGAAAATATCTTGGCACTAGATAGAGGTGGTGATTGCACAACATTGCGAATGTGCTAAATGCCACTGAATTGTTCACGTAAAAATGAATAATTTTATGTTGTGTCAATTTCACCTTAACAAAAATTACATACACAGGATTTAAATGCATCATTTCACCAACCTTTTTACACTAACATCAGATGATCGAACAGGACTTAGCAGAATATTTCAGCTTTGAATGTGAAGCAGGCCTAAACTCAAAACTTTGTGATACTGAAATGGAAGATGGGATGTAATAATCTTGGAAAGTAAAAATTATTTTTGTTTATTTTAAGCAGGAGTTTTTTTCTTGAAGAAAAAATATGGAGTAAATATGTAATAGATAATAAATATTTCTTCCTTCAGGGTACTGATTCAGGGTACTGTGGGCTTCAAAGTTAGATCACCTGGGTTCTCATTCTCATTCTCCCAGGAATGTTCTGGAGGACTATCAGATACACTGTATCTTTCCTGCATCTTTCTATTCTAATAAGAGTTGAATCATTGCTGATTCAAGATTTACTATAATACACTCATTCCTTCTCCCTCTGCTGGCTGGCTCCGTACTACTACACTGATAGACTAACACATAGCAGAGCTGGGGTTATGATCATGTAACAGATATTTACTGAGCCTTACTTATTAAGTACCATACACTTTGCTGCGTCCTGAGTATTCCACAGTGAAGTTAAGACATGAGCCCTGGCCTAATTTACCATCTAGTAGGGGAGGCAGACCATAAGCAAACCATTTATGTATCATGAGTAAACAGTACTATAAAGGGAAATAGTGCTACACTAGAGGAGAGGAATACAATTTCTCGTTGTGTGTTCAGGAAAGGCTTCTCTTAGGAAGGACATGCAATCTGAAAAGACTGGCATGGCATTAACGAATGGCGATAGGTGAGCTTTGGACTGTGGAAAGTTTATAAAGCCAGGTTAAGAAGTGTGGAGAGTATTTGACTATAGTGGGAAATAAATGGTGCATTTCCAGAAAGGGAGTGATAGAATTTTGCGTTTTAAAAAGATCGCAGGGGCAAGACAGAAAGCAGGGAGACTATTTAGGAGGTACCAGGACTTGGAGTAATTATGGTTTTTGGCTTGGGTGACAGGGTGGCTGAGTGTATCATTCTGTGGTAGAACGATGACTGCAGCGGTTAGAGGACAAGCGGATGATCGAGTATTTAAGGAAAAAACAAACCACAGCTTTCAAGGCGTCTTGTTCTGAACAGCCGGAACCAGGGAAGGGCACGCTCCTAAAGTGGAAATGTTCGGACGGAGGCTGAGGTACAAGACAGCCCAGGAGAGCCGGACTCCGATCCCGCTCTCCCTCTTTGGTGTTATCAGAAGCAGTGGCCGGGGCCGAGCGAGGATGCTCTCTGACCCAGAACGACGGCGGAAAGAACAAAGGGTGGACAGACTAATCTTCGGAACTAGACCTGGGCTGCCTCACTAACACCGCCCACCGCTGATTAGCCCCACCCCCGGAAGTGCCGCCTACCGACGCTCATTTCCGCTACCCCAGGCGTCTGACCGTCTCGCGAGAACTGGAAGAGCCTATGTGACCTGGGCTAAGCGGAAGTTTGGTCTCTTTTTCGTGGCGCCTCGGAGGCGGTCGGCAGCTTCAGAATGAAGGTGGGGACTGGTGGCGGGTGTTGCGCTAGGTTTGAGTAACGTGGATCTAGCCCCAGAATACGGCGCTGCGCTCCAGAATCCTGGCTCTGGATGGAGAAGGGCCTGAGACAGGAGATGGATCGCTCTTTTGGGGCCGGAGCTCCTTGGGAGAGCGGATGGCGAGCGATTGCAGCTGGAGCTGCGCCGGGCGGGGAGCGCCATGGTGGCGTCCTGCCCCCCAGCCGGGATAGAGGCGGCCCTGCTGCCCGGTTGGCAGCAAGTAGGTCGGGCTTCTTGCTCCGAGAGGGGCAGCGGCTGCGCAGCGCCCTTCGCCCCGGCGTCATTCCGCGAGGCTTGAAAGATGTGTCCTACTTTTTTAGTGCGGTGTGTCTTGCGCGGTCTTATGTACACACATGCTTTAGTGAGTAGTATCAAATTTTCTGTTAGTTGTGTGTGGGTGACAGAAAAGGCTTTTTGCAGTGGAATAATCTTTGTAGTGGTTCTGCGATTTTCATGAAGTTCTTTCCCCCCCGTTTAATTTTTAGCTGAACATCTCTTTCCCGGCCACTGGCTGCCAGAAACTCATTGAAGTGGACGATGAACGAAAACTTCGAACCTTTTATGAGAAGCGTATGGCCACAGAAGTTGCTGCTGACGCTCTGGGTGAAGAATGGAAGGTAAAAGTGGCCTGCCGGACTGCCGAATTGAATTGTTAGAATATTTAAGAGAGATGGTAAACGCTGTTGGTAATTGGTAAATGTTATGGGGTTCAAACTCGGGTTCTGTCTTCTGACCTTGGGTTTAGTTACTTCCAGATGTCACATTATAACGTGGAGCCATCACCTGTCAGGGTTATGTTCGTGAAAAAATACATAGTTCTTGCCCTGCAAGCTAATGGTCTCCATTTTTTTTTGAAAAGTGCCAAGAAGGGTTTTTATTTATTTATTTATGGTTCATTGATGCTTTGTTCCTTAACATTGTCTTTCTCCCCCAAGAGCTGTTAACTCTGGTAAAGCATCGGCTAGAAGTAGCTTGATTGAAAGGACTTCGCTAATTGAACTTGGGAAACTGGAAGTAAAGACAAAATTTAGTGACCAGAGAAAGCTATTAAGTTTCAGATTGGTCTTAATGAAGTGTACTTGTTGGAGGCTACAGTCTTTTGTTCTATAATGTGTCATTGTGTTCTCTTCCAGGGTTATGTGGTCCGAATCAGTGGTGGGAACGACAAACAGGGTTTCCCCATGAAGCAGGGTGTCTTGACCCATGGCCGAGTCCGCCTGCTACTGAGTAAGGGGCATTCCTGTTACAGACCAAGGAGGACTGGAGAAAGAAAGCGCAAATCTGTACGGGGCTGCATTGTGGATGCCAATCTGAGCGTTCTCAATTTGGTCATTGTAAAAAAAGGTGAGATTTTTATTCTTGAGTTAATTTTTGTCCACACTGATTTAAAGCTGATTGTCGATTGATTGATTGATTTGCAGTATCCACAGTTTTGACCAGTGGACTTGTTTTAACAATGCCTGAACAATTTAGGGTTCTTGTTTGTAAGGAGGTTGTTGAATTAAAACGTCTGTTCGTTTTTCTCTTTCAGGGGAGAAGGATATTCCTGGACTCACTGATACTACTGTGCCTCGTCGCCTGGGGCCCAAAAGAGCTAGCAGAATCCGCAAACTTTTCAATCTCTCTAAAGAAGATGATGTCCGCCAGTATGTTGTGAGAAAGCCCCTAAACAAAGAAGGTATGGGGGATTATGCAGTTTTGGGCTTGCTTAATTTCATTGATTCGTCGTAGCGTTTTGTGTGCATGTTAGAAGATAAAAAATCTGCCTACTAGTTACCTAGAATCTGAGTTTTTAGGAAGATAGTGGGGGAGAGAGAGGGTCAAGACGTGCAGTTGGTATGAATCCTTATTATATCCAGTGCCCTCTAGAGTGATAGAATTTTTCTTGGAAATTTGCCTTTGGGTCACTGATGTATAAGTTCATTCAGAGATAACTTATGAGACATTTTAAGTTCGTTGCTTTGGGGTTAGGAGTTGAAAGAATGACAGAAAACTCGGGGGTTGTTATTGAATGTGCTCTCACACACACCCCCGCCCCACAACTTGCTTTCTTTCTATATCAGTGGTTTTAATTTTTTTGTTTACCAAAGAAATACATGCTTTCATCCACTTAAGTTGCTTTAACTTCTGGCCTTCGTTTACTTCAACTGGAATGTGGATAGCAGTAGAGTTGTGAGAATTAGAAGTTGGAAAGAAACTTTATTCAAAATACCAGGGTACAAGTGTTTGGGGTTTGGGGGTTTTCATATGTATATAAATTTATTTAGGTGTAGTTGATTTACTATGTTGTGTTAATTTTGCAGTACAGCAAAGTGATTCAGTTATATGTATGTACATTCTTTTTCATATTCTTTTCTATTATGGTTTGTCACAGGATATTGAATATAATTCCCTGTGCTATGCAGTAGGACCTTGTCTATTCATTCTATGTATAATAATTTACATCTGAATTCCAAACTCCCAAATCCATCCCTCCCCCTTGGCAACCACAAGTCTGTTCTCTGTGAGTCTGTTTTGTAAAGTTCTTTGTGTCATATTTTAGATTTCATATGTAAGTGATATCATATGGTATTTGTCTTACTGTAACTTCATTTAGTATGATAATCTCTAGGTCCATCCACGTTGCTGCAAATGGCATTATGTCTTTTTTGTACCTGAGTAGTATTGCATTGTATATGCCTACCACATCTTCTTTATCCCTTCATCTGTCGGTGGACATTGAGGTTGTTTCCCTGTCTTGGCTATTGTGAATAGTGCTGCGATGAACATAGGGGTGGCGTGTATCTTTATGACTTACAGTTTTGTCTGGATATATGCCCAGGAGTGGGAGTGCTGGATCATATGGGAACTCAATTTTTAGTTTTTTCAGGAACCTTGGTGTTTTATATTTTAAGAAGGTATATTGTTTATTAGGCAAGATAACTCATCAGTAGTGAGGTCTGCAGCAGCAATGCTCAGTAATGATATTTCTGTAGTAAATTGTATGAACATTTATAATAAGTGGAATAAATAGCATGTTAGTTCTGGGTTGGGTTTTCCTGACAGATCTGAAAAATTTTGCTTGGGTTTTGGTTTTCAGGACTGGGGGCTTAAATAAGCTAATACCTGGTATATGGTAAGTGCTCATTGGTCACTCATACGAAATACCTGGGCACCTACTGTGTGCCGGGTATGATTTTCAATGAAGTAACTGGCAAATATATGGTAGTTCCCTGCAGTTGCACCCCTGGAAATATCATTAGTGTACTAAGTGCCACTTAACAGACATTTGTTAAGATGGTTCTTTTTTTCTTTATAATTCCAAAGGGTTTTTTATTTTAGCAGAACCTGAACAACTGAGCATTTAGTCTTAGAATATTTATCTGAAGTGTTTATTGCTCCCAGAAGGTGTCCACAAACTAAAATCACTGCATCTGAAAAGACTCCTGTTCTGAAGCAGATTTATAATCCAGAGGATTTTGGATTATAAATCAGACAGGCTAAATGAAGATATTCTCAGGAATTCCCTGGTGGCCGAGTGGTTAGGACTCTGCTTTCACTGTGGTGGCCCAGGTTCAATCCTGGTTGGGGAACTAAGATCCTGCAAGCCGGGCAGCACCACCAAACAAACAAACAAATAAATAAATTCATTCATTCGTTTGCTCATTCTTTCAGTCTGATGTTAAGTTTCACTCCAGGAGCATGGTGGAATGCAGTTAATGCTTTACTTAGTTTTCATGACAAGTTAAATATGTGGTTAATACTCTTTTAAAATAATGCTCATGTGTCTTAACGGTACAGAGATATACTATCCTCCCAAGACAATGTAATTGTGGAAGGGAAATCAAAGTGAACAGAAAAAAGTATGGGGTATGACTTCCAACTGTTCAGCAAAGTAACCTATTACTATGCTGAATTTACGTATGATCTTGAACTTGACATCCAAGCTATTGGTATAGGAAAACACTGGTCCCTAGTAAACTGTCTCATACAAATAAGTTTTCATAGGAACTACTGAGTTTGAATCTGTTTCTAATGCTTTAAAAATGTAAATGTGGGTCCTGTTGAACAAGGGTATTATTGAGGTGATTGAGTCATTATCTGAATTTTTAGGTAAGAAACCTAGGACCAAAGCACCCAAGATTCAGCGTCTTGTTACTCCACGTGTTCTGCAACACAAACGTCGGCGAATTGCTCTGAAGAAACAGCGTACTAAGAAAAATAAGGAAGAGGCTGCAGAATATGCTAAACTTTTGGCCAAGAGAATGAAGGTAAGTCCTCAGTGTGTGTGTTGGGGGGTGGGGGGAATAGGCCTGGCTTTGGATTTGCATTTTTAATCTAGATAAGCATTAACTGCCTTTATTTATTTATTTATTTTTTTGGTTTTGTTTAGGAGGCCAAAGAAAAACGCCAGGAACAGATTGCCAAGAGACGGAGGCTGTCCTCTCTGAGAGCTTCTACTTCTAAGTCTGAGTCCAGTCAAAAATGAGATGTTTTTAGAGTAACAAATAAATAAGATCAGACATCACATCTCCTTTATTGACTTTTAATTGATGATAAAATAAACGAGAAACTTATAGAAGAGGAGGTACTGTATAATCTAGTGGTAGATAAAGTCTGCAAGAGATACCTGAAAGTGATAATCCTTCAGATTCAGACACTGAACTGCGATAGTGGAGGAGATGGCCAGGACAGTTTCTTTGGTGGGTGGCTCAGGAAAGGACTCTTAGCATGTTCATTGGCTTTTTAGCAAGGCATTGAACAATACAGGGGAAATAAATGACTAGGACTATTAATCTTTGATACACTTTATTTTGAGGAATACAGTTTTTCTTAAAGATCTATACACGATACATGAAAAGTGCCCTTGTGAAGATGGACGTTTGTCATATGTAAAAAGGATAACTTGTTAAAAGCATAGTTAACGGATACCATTTTAAAATAGTTGACAAAGTTTTTAAAACCAGTGCAAATTTAATGCATTAACAGAAAACTTTTCAACTCGTTTTTATTATATTTCACTGCGAAGGAGTTGACTGTACCTCTTTTTAGAAACACTTGCATCAGTGAAGGATGCACAGAGAAAGTATACTTTTCTTTTGGCTGCAACATGCAGCTTGTGGGGTGTGGGATCTTAGTTCCCTGACCAAGGATTGAACCCAGGCCCTTTGCAGTGAGAGTGTGGAGTCCTAACCACTGGACTGCCAGGGAAGCCCCAAAAGTATGCTTTTTCTAATGTACTATGTCTGGTTTCTATAGTACTTGCAGTAAGAACCTTCATTCAAACCATTATAGACTAGAAGGGTCTTAAAAGAAGGCACATTAGGCTTTAAAAGGTGCTCCTTTGCCAGAGTATATATTAACCACAGGTGAGTAAAATTTTCAAGTGGCTGTAACATGTAGAGACTGAAGAAGTGCTTCAGTTAAGTGTGTGTAAAAATCACCTGGGGATCTGGCTAAAAAGTGGATTAGGATTCGGTAGTTCGGGGCCCCACAGTCATTAATAAGTTCCCAGGTTAGGCCAATAATGCCAGCCCTGAAGCAAGATTCATAGAGAGCCCCGTAGCTTTTTTTTTTAAATTGGAGTACAGTTGATTTACAATGTTGTGTTACTCTGCTGAACAGCACCCATAGCTCTTAATGAAATATTAAAAAGTTACAAAAGTCTTAAAGTCTTAATTGGCAATTGACAAAGTCATAAGTTGAATTTACAGCATTTAAAAAAAGATACCCAGTGCCAGAAGGACTGACACTACAGCTGAATCCTAGAGGGTAACATGCCAAAAGGCAGGTCTGGTGTACGCCCAGAATTCTAGCTAGTAGCTGGTAGATTCTAATGCATAAAACATGAGAACCACCCTGCTTTCTTATTTTGAGGAGTACAGTCACTGAGGTGGACAGATAGGTAAGGTGGGCCTAGACTATACTAGCTTATGAAATCTGGCAGATTTAAGAGTTTAACATTGCAAAGACACTGAATCCTATATTACTAGTGTATACCAAAAATGAAAAGGGCAACAATTGAATATCCCAAAGGCATGTCAGACTTGTTTATGATTGTTAAATCATTAACTGCAGGTTGCTATAATCAATCTGAGATGCAGTTAATACTAAATCTAAAAGCAGTGTAAGGTTATGCTAAACAATCTGCCATAATTTGAAAGATCGCTTTCAGAAGTTAATCAGGATTTAAGTCTCATACAGTCATTCTAGATATTACTAAATCTATAGATAATGATTTGAAATCTTTTTTTTGGTCTGTTTTTGCTACAAGTTTTTACTGCCCTTTCTGTGGTAGGTGCAAGAAAAGGCCTTTAAGCAATTTTAATACAAATCGGTCTCAATTTCTGAATGACAGGCTAAGCTTTCCAATATATAATGGCTAAGTTATTTAGATTAATATTAAAAAGCTATTAGAAATTTTATAATTTGATACAATATAGCAAAATATTAAATGTGTAAGGAGATCTTTATCACAGGGTCGTTTTAGTGGGAAGTGCTTTGGTAATTTAGTTCAAGTTATTGAGAACTACAGAGAAATGGGAAAACAGACAATACTGGAATTCTGAAGATCACAAAAGCTTGAATTGCTGTACACACTTCAGGAGCCTTAAAAATGTAAGACAAGCACAGCAAACTTGAGAAGTTTTCATTTTATTCAACCTTGATTTTTTTATATGCAAAGTAATTCCAAACTTTCTGTTGGGGCAATAAGTGTTAAGTATTAAAACTAGTACCAAGTCTTAAGTTGCAAAAATATATTCTCTGAGACAGTGCAAAAGATCCATTTTTAAGGCAATGAGAATTGTACACAGTTTCTGACAAGTTCTTTCACTTACCACTTTCACAAATTGAAACTAGGATTCTGCATAGGTCTTATTAACCCTGAAATGTTGGAAGATTGGTATAGTAACAATTTTTAAAAGATTATAGCAGGTAGGAAGGAGATGTGTGCTGTTAACTGTACCATTTGGAAATAATTATCAACCGATTTAGTCATCTGCATAATTACTGTAAAAGCGAGCACACACAATCATTGGCTTTTCAAACCATGCATGCAGAGAGATAAGGCAAATTTACTGTCCCTAAGGGATGTGTTAACGAAAGGCATGATAAATGTCAGTGAGGCATGTGAGGTCATGATTTTCTTAAACCTACTGGCAACAAGTTTAATAAGCTTTAACGTTTTAAGACAATTGATTCAGCCTAAAAAACAGTATTTACAAATGCACAAATAGTAAGTGTACAAATCTAAATTTTATACAAGAATAAAATTCTGTGTGCAGTGCAAGTTATCCCACAGGTTTTTAAAAGTGACCAATAGCAACAGTTTATGTGCCTGAACAATTTCTGGCCCAAAGACATACACAAGAATTTTAATTTTGTAAATTATGAAGCTGATTAATTTCATTTAAACTATCTGGCTCATTTATTCCAATTTTAAAGCTGTTGCAAATTAACATACTGGGAAGAGGATGAAAGGAAGTAACTGGATATTCAAGATACAATCCATTAAGGGAGCTAAATACATAAACGTGAAGGGTAAAAATATATATTAATTTTAAAGTCAAAGGCAAGGCAGTTATCAGACTTTCAGGTAATTTTGAGATTAATGACTACATACGAATTAGTAGTAGTCATTTATTTAATAGTTGGAGACCCCCTTTCAGAAAACTTTATTGCAACATGCAATCTAAGAATTTTAATAAATATAATATGGCTGAGTAGATACACAGCCACACATATATACACAATACACAAATAGTTGCTCTTATAATTGAGATTTCGTTTGTTTTGGGGTTAGGCAAGTTTACATTAATTTGCCATTCCCCAAACTCAATAGCTTCAGATATAGACAAAACGCCAAGAATGAATATGGTTTCTCATCGAACTGCTACAAATACTGAGAAATGCAAAACCAATTTTCAGCAGATAAAAACAGTTCAGAAATTGTAAATCTTCAACATCAGTAAACCCTAAGGCATTTTAGTGGCATTTTTACCTTCTGAGATGATTCAGTATGAATTACATTTCATTATCTATTGTACCAAGAATAACTTCATTTCAGTTTTCACCAATTCGTAATTTGAAACAAACCTTGAATGTCTCCAGATTGAATCTATTCCCCCAGTTCTGTGTCCAAAATCTAGTGAATCTTATTTAAATGAGAGGTGCTCCAAAACACTTCCTGCACCACTCCACACTGATACTTGGTGGAGCATCAATTTTCTGCAACTTTTCAAGAATCTCTGTAGATAAACTATTGTATGCAAGTCCATACTCATTGTCAAAAGCCTCTGAAAGATATTTTCAAAAGTACAGTTGGTATTTCTTAATAATAAATAATAAAATAAAAGCTATGCATTTAAAAATGGTAGTCAAATCTTTTTTTTTTTTTTTTGCGGTACGCGGGCCTCTCACTGTTGTGGCCTCTCCCGTTGCGGAGCACAGGCTCCGGACGCGCAGGCACAGCGGCCATGGCTCACGGGCCCAGCCGCTCCACGGCAAGTGGGATCTTCCCAGACCGGGGCACGAACCCGTGTCCCCTGCATCGGCAGGCGGACTCAACCACTGCGCCATCAGGGAAGCCCCAAATCATTTTTATATACATATTTAAACTGCATATTTAAAGGCAGAAATCTTTTTAAAGGCAAATGGAGTATCTGCCCATACCAATTAAAATTTTAAAAGTTTCTTTAAGAAATAAGACTTAAACCCCCTTTAAGGAATCCCCAGTTGACGAACTTACCAATATCAATATTCTCTCTTCCAAGAGACACTAATGATAAGAAGAGGATTTCTCTGTATAAACTCCTATAAAACAAATATTTTTTAAAATTAATGGTCAAAGAGCATAAAAATACCCTATGAAGGTTTTTTAAAATGGTGATAGAACACAACACTGTAAATCAACTATACTTGAAAAAAAAGATTAGGTTCTTTAGTTAACAGTAATGTATCCACCATCCATGTCAGTGTTCTGGTTTTGACATTACACTACACTTATGTCACCTTTGGGAGAAGCTGGGTAAAGGGTCAACGGAACTCTTTGTACTATCTTTGCAATTTCCTGCAAACTTATGTTTCAAATTAAAAAGTTAAAAGTTAATGGGCATAAAGCTTCACATTCGAAATAACTAAAAATGGCTTATTTTAACTTTATTGTAATTATTTAGCAATATAATAGGTAACTTTTAATTCTAATTTCTAATTCAGATTTACAAAAGCAGACTTTTGCCACGTGACACAGTAAAAGACTAAGTAAGTTAGGGGTCTAAAACCCTTGGACACAAACAGTATGAAAGATGGTGTGGTCTCTACTACTTAACCCAACAGTAAAGGATAAATCACCTTTATTTGATTTGCGAACATAAACATGTTACAAATGAAACCTTAAAAATGAGACTCGTGACTCATTTGTTAACAAAAGGGGAAACTGATGAACTGATTTGAGTATTTACAGAAAAAAAAATTAGAGAGTAATGCTGATTCGGATGATGCTCCATGCAGCTTTCTTTAGAAGCTCCAGAAGCCATAGTATGTCATTTCTAATATTCCTTCCCTGTCCTGCAACTACAGATACTTGAAAGTGGCTGCTCTTTAGGCTGTGAAGGAGATAATCTCTACCTCAACTGTTGAGATTATAGAAGGATCTATCCATTTTCATTATGAATTCTTGTCCTATCATTTCTGAGACTGTCTTCAAAGATGCCATGACTAGAAACTTGAAGAGCACCTGGAAACACTGTTTATGTTTGATAGAAGGTATTATGTCTCTCTCTCTGAAGCTTCCACCACAAAATTCATTTATGCTGAGACTGGGATGAGTACTGATCCAAGCGTGTTAGCAGACAATAAATAGTAAGAGGATCAGGACAGCTCCATACCATTTGTAATTCACTGCTTCCATCATCTTCCTAAATTGTTTCTACTCCTAAACCCATATTTTTTTTTTTTTACATCTCACAAGATAAGATGCGTGACAGGACCTGAATGAGCAGTACATATGTATAACATCAATGTTAACACATTTATAGGTTTCCAGTGAATAGTAGTAATTTTTCACAAGGACTCAGTACGTTTTAGACATAAATGAATTACCTCCTAAAATTTAATCTATTTCCCAGATATTTTTATTATGTTTGTGATCAAGTATGAATGCATTCGGGTAGCACTTTTTAAGACAATCAGATGTTCTACAATGAGTATGTGTTTCTTTTACAACTAGAGATAGTTTTAAAAATCATTTTTAAAATACCATGAAATTATGGTATTGGTATCAAATGGTATCAAGTACCAAATACTGGATTATTACCTTTGTCTTTTCATGTCTCCCTTCATTTGTTGTGAAAGCAGGTTGATGGGTTTAAGAACATCATTATGTTGAATACTCTGCCTGATGGTTTCTACTAAAGCGCTTGTTGCTTGTTGTTCCTCTGACAGGAGAGACAATTTCTTTTCAGAATCTAATAATAAGAACACAGTAAAAGAATACATTTAGTCACTCTAATTATTAAAGAAGTTTTTTTTCAGATTTGTATCATTTTTTATTCAACACCACCTCCCCATCACAAGTAAAATTACGTAGTAATGTGACCAGCTAAAAAATATTTTTCTTGCTTTCTTCAGATAGGAGAGGCCTGTCCCTTTGCCCTTTTCCTGAACTTAGGGCTTCCTGATTGAGGCTGCAATGTGATATCTTGTATGCCAGCAGCCATCCTGTGACCATGAATCTTTCCTGATGGAAAAGCAGACAAAGCGTAAGGAGCCTGGGTCCCCGATGACAAAGGAGTTGCCTAACAGTCCTGGAGTATCTAATTCATAAATTCTTCATGTGAGAGAATAATCTTTACCTGTTTAAGATTCTGTTGTTTTCTATTAAATACAGTAGCGTATAATCCTAATTGATACAAGGGTAATTCTAGAATTATTAAGAACAAATATTTATACAGATTTCATATATTACAAAAGTGCTTCAGTGGTATACTTGAATCACAGTACCATTAAAAATCAACAATGTGAGCTTGGCCCAGAAAAAGGGAAAACTTTAATACTGTAGGTAATCCCAGCAGCCATACAATTTTATTACACCCACATTAGTTGAGATGGAACTATGTATCCAAAAGTTCCCCAGTCAGCCTCATTTTAAGTGTCTGTCATAAAGCCAGTTACTGTAATTTTCATACAATCCAGCCCCTTAATAAAGGCAACTAGGAATATTTCATTTGTGTTCAGACCATAGAAATAGCAAAGTTCTCTGTTACAATACAAGAGGGAATACTGGCTGCTATGGGTTTTGATCCTAGTTTTTCTACATGCTAAACAGATTTGATTTGATTTTCATGTTATGTTGTGATTTTAGAGCATAACCCAAATATAATATGCAACTTCACTATTGCTTAATTCACAGAGTTGGGCAACCATCACCAATTTTAGAACATTTTTATCTCCTCCAAAAGAAATCTACCTATTAGCAGTCACTCTATCTTCCCAACCCCTCAGCCCTAGGCGACCACTAATCTTATTTTGTCTTTACAGATTTGCCTATTCTGATTGTTTGATATAAATGGAATCATACTTTCTGTTCTCTTTTGTGGCTGCTGCTTCTATAATATTTCAAAATTCATTCATTTTGTAGTATGTATCAGTATTCACTACTTTTTATTGCCAAATAATATTCCATTGTACGGATATACCATACTTTATCCATTCATCAGTTAAAATGAACATTTAGGTTGTTTTCATTATTTGGATATTAAGAAAAATGCTGCTAAAAACAGTGTACAAGTTTTTACGTGGATGTATGTCTTCATTTCTCTTGGGTGTATACCTAAGAATACAACTGCTGTGTCATATGGTAACTGTTTACCATTTTGAGGAACGGTGAAACTATTTACACCAAAGCAGCTGCACTAGTTTTCTTCCAATTAGCAGTGAACCAGGAAGAGATCCAACTTTATTTTTTCTGCATGTTGTTCCAGTTGTCCAGCACTACTTGTTGAAAAGACTATTCTTTACCCACTGAATGGTCCTTGGCACTCTTGTTGAAAGGCATTTAACTGTACATGTGAGGGTTTATTTCTGGAAACTCAACTTTATTCCATTGACCTATATGTCTATCCTATGCCAGTTTTCTACTTTCTTGATTACTGTAGCTTTGTAGTAAGTTTTCAAATTCAGAAGTATGAGTCCTACAACTTTGTTCTTCTTTTTCAAGACTGTTTTGGCTATTCTAGGTGCCTTGAAAATCCATATGAATTTTAGGATAAGCTTGTCAATTTCTATAAAAAAGCCACCTGGAATTTTGATATAGATTGTACTGAATCTATAGATCGATTTGGGAGTACTGCCATCTTAACAATATTAACTTTTCTGGCCCATGAACATCGGATTTCTTTCCATTTACTTAGGTGGTCTTTACTTTCTTTCAACAATAATTTTAGTTTTCAGAGTATAATAAGTTTTGTACTTATTTTATCAAATTTATTCCTAAGAATTTTATTCTTTTTTTTTAAAATATTTATTTATTTGGTTGCACCAGGTCTTAGTTGGTGCAGGCGTGCTCCTGAGTTGCAGCACGTGGGCTCCTTAGTTGTGGCATGTGAACTCTTAGTTGCGGCATGCATGTGGGATCTAGTTCCCTGACCAGGGATCAAACCCAGGCCCCCTGCACTGGGAGCAAGGAGTCTTATCCACTGTGCCACCAGGGAAGTCCCAAGAATTTTATTCTTTTTAATGCTATTATAAATGGAATTATTTTAATTTTTGGATTATTCATTGAAAGTATATAGAAATACAGTTGATTTCTATGTTTTGATCTTATATCCTGCAACTCTGCTAAGCTTATTTAATAAGTTCCATATGTTTTGTGTGTGTGTGTGTGTGTGTGTGTATTCCTTAGGATTTTCTAATTTAGGATTTTCTATATGTAAGATGACATAATCTGCAAGTAGAGATAGTTTTACTTTTTCCTTTCCATCTTGGATGCCTTTTATTTTCCTGTCTAATTGTTCTAGCAAGAACCTCCAGTACAATGTTGAAAAGAAATAATGAAAACAGACATCTTTGTCTTGTTCCTGTACTTGGGGGAAAGTATTCAGTCTTTTACCATTAAATGATATCAACTGTGGGTTTTCAGAGGCTCATAATTAGGTTGAGGAGGTTCCTTTCTATTCCTAGCTTGGCTTTTTTTTTTTTGGTTGCTTTGGGTCTTAGTTGCAGCACTCAGGATCTTCCCTGCGGCATGCGGGATCTTTCGTTGTGGAGCGCGGGCTCCACTGCTGCAGTGCATGGACTCTCTAGTGGCACGTGGGCTACAGAGCGCACCAGCTCAGTAGTTGTGGCGCGCAGACCTAGTTGCTCTGCAGCATGTGGGATCTTAGTTCCCCAACCAAGGATCGAACCCGTGTCCCCTGCATTGGAAGGTGGATTCTTAACCACTGGACCACCAGGGAAGTCCCTTGTTGAATGTTTTTAACAAAGGGCAATAGATTTTGTCCAGTGCTTTAGCTGTGCCTATTCAGACGATCATATGGATTTTGTCCTTTATTTTATTGATATGATATATATTAATTGATTTTCAAACCAACACAGCATGCCTGGCGTAAACAGCACTCGGTCATGGTATACAATCGCTTTTCTAAATTGCTGGATTTGGTTGGATAGTATTTTGTTGAGGATCCTTACGTCTATATTCATAAGTGATAAGATTTTTAGTTTTGTTTTCTTATGATGTCTTTGGTTTTTGTATCAGGGTAATGCTGGCCTTCTCACCCAAATCTCTGCTCTTTCCAAGAGTGCTTTCAGGCTTGAACTTCTCCACAGTCTGTCCCAAATAAAGTCATTTCCTTTGGGGAGAATTTCAGAGCTCTCTCTTCTTATGGCCTGTCTCTCAGCCACTGCTCTGGAGCTGGGAACAGTGGCCCTTCTCTTGGAATGATTCCCCTGCTTTGTGAATGGGGTACTGGAGGGATGCAGTTGCCTCTCATGTTTTAGCTTGCCTCTCCTGGCATAAAACCTCTCCCTTATGAGCAGGACGCTGTGAGAACAATCAGAGACCCAGTATTCGAGGGTTGCTGAAGCTGGCAGTGCATGGGGGCTGAGTGGAGGAAGTGAGCCTCCCTGTCTCCTGGAACTGAATAGAGCTGGGAGGATGAGAACTGCTGGCAACCTGTCTTTCCCAGGGAGATGCTGTAGCCCTTGACTGGGGGCTGGTGGGGAGCAGCAAGTTGTAGCTCAAATGCCACAGAAACTCACCGTTTTTACTGAAATTTAATATATTTTCTTCTTTAAAAAATTTATTTATTTATTTTTGGCTGAGTTGGGTCTTCGTTGCTGCACGTGGGCTTTCTCTAGTTGCAGCGAGCGGGGGCTACTCTTTGTTGTGGTGCACAGGCTTCTCATTGCGGTGGCTTTTCCTGTTGTACAGCATGGGCTCTAGGCGTGCGGGCTTTAGTATTTGTGGCACGCGGGCTCTAGAGTGCAGGCTCCGTAGTTGTGGCGAACGGGCTTAGTTGCTCTGCAGCATGTGGGATCTTCCCGGACCAGGGATCAAACCCATGTCCCCTGCATTGGCAGGCGGATTCTCAACCACTGTGCCACCAGGGAAGAACAATATATTTTCTTGAATAAATATTTCTTCATTTGCTCGACAGCTGTAGACACTTTTTTTAAATAACTTTCACCAATTATGGTTGTTTCGCTGGGAAATGGGACTTCATAGCTCCCCATACTGCTTTTCCAAAAGTCACCACTCAATTCTATTATATCTTTTAATGTTATTTATATACCAATTCTTTGTTTAAAGTAGCCAATCAAGTAAAGAAACAAGGCTATTCTTGAGAGTTCTAAATTTTATTCTCACCACAAATTATAGGACATTTAAAAACACTTATCTATTTCAAGGTATACAGGAAAACAACTAAAGAAATGGCAGTTATAATTCTATTATTTTCCAGCATAAATTTCAAAGTTACTCTGCTTCTGCTTAAAAAGCATTCAAATATCAGAACTGGGAGAACAACAACAGAAAGACAAAAATAGCTTATAATATATTTAGCCATAATTTTGTGATTGGCATATTTCAAGGGAAAATGTCAGATTCTTTTATTCTAGCTTAAGTAAAAAAACTGCTAAGTAGTGAAAGATTGTAGTAAAAATACAAAATAAAGAGTGGGGGCTTCCCTGGTGGCGCAGTGGTTACGAATCCGCCTGCCAACGCAGGGGACACGGGTTTGAGCCCTGGTCCAGGAAGATCCTATATGCTGCAGAGCAACTAAGCCCATGAGCCACAACTACTGAGCCTGCATGCTGCAACTACTGAAGCCCACACGTGTAGAGCCCGTGCTCCGCAACAAGAGAAGCCACTGCAATGAGAAGCCCGTGCACCGCAACGAAGAGTAGCCAACGCAGCCAAAAAAAAAAAAAAAAAAAAAACCAGAGTGAACTTTTCCTTTCTTCTTCTGAGCAGGTACTGTTAACAGCTTGGGACATATACGGTTTTAGACCTTTTTCTATTCATACATTAAAAACACAAATATTTTTGGTTTCGTTTTTCTACAAAAAAGAGAAAAGATCACATACTGTTCTGCAACTTGCCTTTTTTTTTCACTTACTATATAACGAAAATCCATCCTTTCGGGAACCTATATACAAATGACTCATTCTTTTTCTTGGTTGCCAACATCTCATAGTGTGGATTTATCACAATTCTCTTGTTAGGTATTTGCGTAAGTTTTTCATTATTATAAATAATCTTACAGTATGCATCACTGTACCAACAGCTTTGTACACTGTATACCTATAGAACAGAGCATTTTAATATTTCTTCCATGAACTGCCTATTGATACCGTTTACTCACTTACCTACTGGGTTGTCTGTGGTTTCTTACAGACTCATAAGGCTTCTGAATACTGGATAACCCTTTAAACCCCTTGTAAAAATATGTTCTAAATACAAAAACTAAAAGTAAGGCCAGGGGATTCCCTGGTGGCACAGTGGTTGGGAGTCTGCCTGCCAACACAGGGGACACGGGGTCGAGCCCTGGTTTGGATCCCACAGGCCGCGGAGTGACTGGGCCCATGCACCACAACTACTGAGCCTGCGCTCTGGAGCCCGTGAGCCACAGCTGCTAAGGCCCGCGGGCCTGGAGCCTGTGCTCCGCAACGGGGGAGGCCGTCACAGTGAGAGGCCCGTGTGCCACGGTGAGGAGTGGCCCCCGCTTGCCGTAACTAGGGAGAAGCCCGTGTGCAGCGGTGAAGACTCAATGTAGCCAAAAATAAATAAATAAATAAAATTTATAAAAAATAAAAATAAAGTCAGAATCTTTGAGAACAGTACCCATATAATTAAAATTATGATCTATACCAACACATCCACTATAGAGAATTTACTCTCCAAGTACCTAACCAAATTAGTATTTGACAGATAAACTACAAGAATCACAAAAACACCCCTGATAAATGGGTCAGTACAACAGCAAAAAAATTTGAACTAAAATGGAAAAAATCTTGAGGAGATACTAAAAATGAATGAAAGATTTAAAAATAAAGCAAAATTATTTCTATCATCTCCTTAATTCTATTTTTTCCCCCCAGTAGTCCATTTCTCTTTATTGCTACAGTATTCTACTGTGTGGATGGACTGTACCAAAATTTGCTTATGCATTCACCTGTGGATGGATATTTGGGTTGTTTCCAGTTTGAGTGTTTTATGTCTTTAATTCTATTTTACTTACTAAAATTCCTCCATGAGACATACAGAGGTTCTCCTGGTTCCTGATGAAGGTTGATATTATCCCATAACAGCTGAATATACACGAGTTTGCTATCCTGGGACAGAGATGACAGGGGAAGCTAAAAAAGATCAGTAGAAAGTATTAGTACCCCAAGCATAATAATAATTACCAGTGGACCTAGCAAAGCTTGATTATATAAAACAGATGAGTTCTTTCAAAATTCTGGACCTAAAATTCTGAGAAAATTTAAAAAATTTTATTTATATCTGATTACAAATGTTATTATTTTCTGAGGTGCATGTTTCTCATTCTGACTTTCAGGGACTGAATGACAACTTGGTAACTGGCACAGCAGCCACAAGAAAGATTAACCTCCATCAAAACAAATTTTAAGGTAAGAAAGTGCAATGGTTTCTCCTATCTTGTTGTACTGACTACTACTTAAAATAAATGAGTCAAAATAGAATTTATACTACTCTAAAAGTTTGTTGTGCCCCTGATGTATGTTTGGGGTTGGGGGTATCTCTCAATATTCAGTATCATAAAATGAAGGAGTTCTAGGAGCTCACTGTCTCCCGGGGAGTCAGGGATGCCACCTCAAGCAAAGCTGGAGTTTCAGAGTCAGAGAGCCAGACTGTGGTCTTGGCCCCCCTCCACTTACGAGGTATGTGACCTAGCAAAAATAACTTCTGTAATTTTTAGTTGTATCATCTGAAAAATGTGGCTAATATGAGTCCTTTAAAATAAGTTGTGAGAATTTCTGCTGGGAATATTATATTTCAGAATAAAAACTACCTTTTCTAGCTACCCTTGCAACTAGAAATGACCATGTAACTAAGTTTAGGCCAAACAGATACATATGAAAAGATTATGTGCAACTCTAGAAACTGTCCCTAGAGAAAGAAGACATACTCTTCTCCATCCATTTTTCTTCTAACTGCTGGCTGGAATGTGGATGTGACAGCTTGTAAGTAGAGTCAGCTATTCCTAGACCAGGTATAAAACTTGGAAATGGAGGTCACACTGCTGAGCAAAAAGATAGAAGACTCTCAAGTCTCTAACACTATACCATCCCTGGACCACCTATCTAAAATTTTAAGTGAGAGAGAAATAACCTATGACTTAAGCCACTATTGTTGTATACTTCCTGCTACCTGAAGTTAAGCCTCATCCTAACCAACACCAATGTAGTATAAGTATTGAAGTTGGTTCCCTACCTGTACACCTCCGTTACAATGTTCAGATGTGAGGATAAGTCCTGGTAAGTTACTAGGAAGGTCCAAACGTCTGAAATACCAAACGAGGTTCCAGAAAATGATTGGATGTTGATTGATGAAAGAGGACGTGTGAATCACCTGATCGCCTTCATTTTCTAGCAAAGATTCAAGTTCTTTACGAAGCACTAGAGGACTCAAGTAGGGCACAGAAACAGGGGGAGGATTGGGTCTTTTTCCTAAAGGATCCTTAAAAACATAGAAATACAAAAAGAAGTGAATATGATCTATTTTATTATGTTTCAGAGTATGTCTCAATGAGATTATACTTCTCTATCCTTTCAAAGTCAATTATTTCAGGGCCATTACTACATGTAGTAGAACAGCCTAAAGAAAACATAAAAGAAGAACACCCTAAAGAAAACATAAAGATTAAGAAGTACTTAATCATAAATACCGTTAAGTTAAATGATTACAAACGAAAATTATTAATCAATATAATAGACCCTATTTTAAACATGAGATTTTGTCTATCACATTAACAGCAATGGCCTATGTAGGTTTGACTTTTTCCTTTTCAATTTTTTATAAGAAATACTTGCATTTCTGATGTTTTATAATGATGATACCAAAAAATATGTGACTATCTTCCGCTTAAAACTCTAAACAGATGATGCAATTTTTTGTTAATACTTTTTTAAAATAATGAATTAATTAATTAATTAATTTTGGCTGTGTTGGGTCTTCGTTGCTGCACATGAGCTTTCTCTAGTTGCGGCACATGGGGGCTACTCTTCATTGTGGTGTGTGGGCTTCTCATTGCGGTGGCTTCTCTTGTTGTGGAGCACGGGCTCTAGGCACGCAGGCTTCAGTAGTTGTGGCACGCGGGCTCTAAAGCGCAGGCTCAGTAGTTGCGGTGCATGGGCTTAGTTGCTCCGTGACATGTGGGATCTTCTGGGACCAGGGATTGAACCCGTGTCCCCTGCATTGGCAGGCAGATTCTTAATCACTGCGCCACCAGGGAAGTCCCTGTATTAATCTTGACTCTTTTTAAAACTATATCTAAGTTGTTTTTGCATTTGATTTCAACAAAAACTAAAGAGCAACTTTATAAATCAAATGAAATAATGAATTAAAAAAACCCCAACGTAGACTTTGTAAGTTGTGCATATTATAGTCAGAATAAAATGTTTATGACCAGTATTAATAAGTACCCACAGTGCCCAGATTGAGGTCTCCAAATACTGTTTTCCTGTAAAAAGAACAAGGTTTCTTAAAGAAATGGTTGATTCTAGGTCTGGAGAAGGAAATATATAACATGAGCATGAAACATCTTGCAATATAAGAAAGCAAGGAAGCTATAAAAAAAATTATAGAAAGGCTACCAGAGTTGTGTCAAAAGGATTAAGGCACCAACTTGTAGAGGCTTCTAGCTGACCAAAGAAGGAATAATATAAGCATCAATAAGGATAACAACAGCAATGGATATAAACATAAATGTTTAAACCAATGAGTTCATAATAATACCCTATCGCCCCAGATAATGGATCACCTTGGAGAATGCTAGGAACCCAACTTCTTACTTTGAAAATTGATAAATAAAAGGAAAACAAAATCAAATATTTATTTTGCCTTTCCATCATAAATTGCATCTTTGGAAAACCAGACAAAAGCCATGGGGTTAGTTTCTCTTTACAGATATATTTCATATAATAAAGAAGATGACAGAATTAGACTATCATCATTTTATAGCTCCAAATGGACAACTTGATCTAGGCATTGAGGCGTTAATAGCTGCTAACATCACAAAGATAGTTCGTGTCTCCTATTGGAGGGACATACCACTACTGATGAAGCGCTCTTATAAAAACAAACAAATGAAAAAAAGAACAAGAAAACCCTGAATCTGATCAAGCTTCTAGCTGTAATTACCAATTTACAGGGTTGTAATCAACAAATAAATTGCAAGGGAATAAATTACAAGGGAAAAAAAGAGTCTACAGATTTTAAAAGACTAATAAAACCAGATTAACCAATTATGAAGCATGGACCTTATTTGATCCTGATTCCTCAAACTACAAAACACACAACTTGACATTTTTGAGACCATTAGAAATTTGAACAAACCTGCTGTATAGTACAGGGAACTCTACTTCACTTTGCTGTACAGTAGAAACTACACAACATTGTAAAGCAACTATACTTCAATTAAAAAAAAAGAAATTTGAACAAAGATTGAATAACTTGATATTATTTTTTGGGTCTGATAAGGACATTGTATTTCTAAGAGTCCTTATCTTTTAGAGATAAATACTGAAATATTTACAAATGGAATATATGATGTTTGAAATCTGCTTCAAATGGATCTACGGAAGAACTGAATGAGTATATACATGAAAGAAAAATGGTCATAAGCTGAAAATTACTGAAGCTGGATGATGTGTCAAAGGGACTCATTACACTCTTGTTTATTTGTGTACATATTTGAAATTCTAAAGTTCTTAGTCTGCTTATGAAAAATTCTTATCACTTTTCATGTGATTAAAATAAACCTACTACAGAAGAATTACATGCTGTTTTAATAAATACTTACACAAACACACAGTATAATTATAATGCTGTTACATACCACAATTTCCTGCAGACTGTTTGGAAGACTAACTGTTGAAATGCCATGAAACGGTCTCTGGGAAAAGTCCATATTTTGCAAGGGACCTCCAACACTGTGACTTCTAGTCAAAGATACATTTCGTTTTGATAAACTATTAGGCACAGATGAAATTTTCATAGTTTGGACATCTCCACTGGCTTTCATTATTTCATCACTTAAAAAAATGAAGAAGAAATGCTGTGGTTAGATTGCGTGAAACAATCTAAATCTGTAGAGCTTGACTATTTTCTACAATGAATTTTGAATGTGCTGAATATATCTGAGAAGACTCAGTACTGCCTTATAAGAATTAAATTTTCTTCAGGTATTTTTGTAAAACTGGTCAGAAAAACAGGATGGAGTGGATGATCTGATGAACGGTAGGAAGAGGATATATATGGTACATAACAGGTATTATGGTATTATTTTAAAAAGATTAAGTGCCCATTCAGTTGCCTTGTTCAAAATTATTTCATCTTTATTAAACAAAATCACTTATACATCACCTTACATGTATAATGCATGTAAGTAAGTAATGTAGATTCATTGCCAAGTATTGAATCTCTACCAGGCCATGATCCACCTAAGGACAGAGGTCAGATTTTATTTACTTTTTAATTTTTAGTGTTTAGCATAATGCTTAGCATACAATAGGCTCTCAAAAAATGTTTGACTCAATATTTAAGAGTAAAAGGTATACTTCACTGTAAAGAGAGTATGTGTCTGGAAACTGACAATGACTACACTGAAGGGGAGAATACTTTTTACTGTTGAAAAGTTCATTTTTGTAAAAGACCACTGTAAAACATTAAACACAGTATTAAAAATGATTTATCATCAGATCCATTCATTAGATATTTAAGCAATATATGGTAGTAAACATTTAAGGTTAAATTCTTAAAATGCCAGAGCTTATGCCTATGTAAGCCAGGGTTGTATTTAAAGATGGAATTTTTACTAGGGTACCCAATTTTTAATGAAGATTTCTCTGAACCCCATGGTACCTTGATTCAACTGCAGAGCTTGTTTCTTCAGTTATGGTCTGGTTATGTTTTGGGAAATCCATAAAGTTGATCAGGTCAGGTTCTGCTGAACTGGATATGGGTTTGTGTTCCAAAGGTTCACTTGCCAGTGTAATGCTTCCACTTTGTAAACTGTCACCAGAGGTACTTGGTTTCAGGAAAAAGCTAAATATGGATCAGTCCAAAAAAAACAAAAAAGTCTTTAAAGATCCCAGAATCCTCTAAATTTCATCATAATTTAGAATCACTTTATGGTAAAATAGTTATTAATGAGTTATACAAATCCATAGAAATACTGCCTATTTCAAACACACACACACACACACACACACACACACACACACACACACACACA